TGGAGCCCTTTTAGCACAGTAGATCTGGGATCTCACAAGCTCTGGCTTTCAGGTGCCATGGTGGCAGCAGCACTGCACTTACCAGACAGCCTCCCCAAATCTCTGCTGTGCTGTGGGGCTGCCCTCATTCTACCCAGGGAGGGCCAAAGCCAGTACTGGGCCCAGCACTCCCTCTTGAGCTTGGTTTGCTGTAACCATTTCAGAGTCTGCAAATCCACCCAAACTCTTCCCTGACCAGCCCGTGGCACACATGCTCCATGCCTCTCCCAGGTCTCTTAGGCTGTAGAGTAATTTGTTTGGGAGCAATGACCCATTTTCTACACCGAGCAGCATGTGCCATCTGTGGGCTTTCTCGCTCAAATGATTCAGATTCTCTTAAATCCAGTTTCACTGTCACTTGGCGTTTGCTCTGCATCCCAGCTTTGTATTGTCCGCTAATCTGGAGATCTGAATTTCTGTCATTTCACTCCTTTCCATCTGTAGATGAGTTGACAGAGAGTCAAGAAAGGAGAGATAGAAAATGCCTCATTCACTCACTCACTCACTTATTACTGAGCACTCACCTTGCCCAAAGCCCAGTGTTTCAGCAGCGGGGGACAGTGATCCCTGTCCTCCAGGAACAAATAGGCCAACAGCTCATCCTCCAGTGAAACAAAGCAAAATGGGCAAGAAGGGGGTACCACTGAATACTAAATCCCTTCCACATCTCATCAGAATTAGGCCCCCATGGTAGAGATGATAGTCTCGTTTGCTGCTAAATCCTCAGCTCTCAGAGGAAGGCCTGGTGCATGTTGGTGCTCAGTTATTGTAGACTTGAACCGCAGTGTGCGTTACTGGCCCAAGCTGTCCACCCTCCTGTATTCACGTCCTTGCCATGGGACTAGGCAGCGCCTCTGCAGGAGAGTATCTCCCTGTCTCTTCACTCTGGGCTCTGCATGCCATTGGTCAAAGCAAGCCACATGGCAGAGCCCAAAGTGACAATGTGTTAGTTCCAAGTCTAGGTGCCTAAGAGCTGTCACAGGTTTCCACTCTTTTCTGACCTCTGTCACTACCATAAGAAGAATACATCCTGGCCAGCCCTAGGAGGGTAAGAGACAGTAGAGGAGATCCAGATCCGCAGGCTGGCAGCATGGAGCAGACTTCCCCAGCCTAGCCCGGCCTACTTAACTCACTCAACCAGCCCACAGAGGCACAGCAGAGCTGCTCAGCTGAGCCCAGCTGACCCACAGATATGTGACATACGGTATTGTTATTTAAGACAGGGTGGATGGTTTGTTATGCAGCATTATTGTGAAAATAGCCAAGTGATACCATCTCAATCAGCTGCCTCATTTCTCCCAGGGCCTGGACCTCTAAGGTGAAGTAATGCCCTCTTTCCTAAGAGCAGGACCGACGCCACTTAAGATAGCCCCTCCATTGTGTGAAAGTTAGGCGGGAAAGTGGGGGTGGGATGGGAGGAGCTCTGCTAACTGCAAAATTAGCTCATGTACTGTTGGCTTGCTTGCATTGGCCAGTACCTCTTGGCATGGTGATCAGGCGACGGAGTTGCCGTGCTTGCAGCTTTAAAAACCGAGAACAAAGATGGTTTGGTGCTGCACCTTGAATTGGCTGGTGCAGTCCAGCTGCTGGCAAAGAAAATCTTTTTCTCTTTTCTATATCGGTCTCCAAGGGTGATTTTTTCTCCCGACGCCTATAATGTAAGGTACTGTTTATGCTCAAGGTTGTTTCAAAACTGGGGTTTGGCAAACTTTGTCTGTAAATGTTCGGACAATAAATATTGTAGGTTTTGTGGGCCCACATATGGTCTCTATTGCACCTTCCTTCCTTCCTTCCTTCCTTCCTTCCTTCCTTCCTTCCTTCCTTCCTTCCTTCCTTTCTTTCTCTTGTTTACTTATTTAATTAATTATTTTTAGCAAAAGCACAGGTACTATACTCTTCTATAGTCTTTTTGGCCTCTTGTCTTGGTTTCAGCAGTCCCATTATCACAAGCAGTACTATCCACAGGGGTCTCTTGTTTAGAGAAAACTGCTCCACCAAAGATAGTTGCCCAACTGGAGTCCAATGCCTCTACTTCTGGACCAAGTTCCAGATTCTTAGGCTGGGAGCATCCAGAATTTCCTGCCCAAAACTTCGCATAGTGTGCACATCCATCCTGGCTTCATGAGGTGGCCTAGGGGCAGTGCTTTGTATGGGGTGGGGGTGGGGTAGGAAAGAACTTGGACACAGAGGCCGTGGTGTCCTCACACAGGCGTGCCAGCCCTCATGGTGCTGCAGCAGAGAGCTGGGGTGCGAAGAGAAGTGGGTGGACCACAGGCCAAGACCTCCATTGTTCTCTTGCTCTGGGCCCACGAATGTTTTGGAGGACCCCAAGTCCAAGTGCACACCGGGCAACACTATGCTCTGCTGATCCAGTGTTTCTCAGGTATAGATAGAAACACTGATTAATGACAAGATTTAGAAAGGGTTGCTGGGCCTGCTTTTGTGTGTTTATGTGAATATTTTTCCTTTTTAAGAATCTTTAGGTCGTGAGGAGATTTAAACAATTCGTTTGAGGCTAAGTTGTAAAAAAGTCAACATCTCCTCTGCATTTAAAGAGATTTCTTGTCCTGAAAATACCACACACCTCTGCACTTATAAGGATGAGCACCTTTTCAGTCCAGGCTGTTATTCTGTTGTTGGTACAAGCTCCTTTCATTAGCTCCAGGTCGTTTTATACAACGTGTCCAGGACTGGTGATGCAGACCCTGTTTTTTAATTTGGAGGATACTAAGTACTGATTTCAGGATTTCTCTTGTCATTCCTTTTAGCATTTTAAAGATCTCTAAAAATTAATTTGTTATTTCAAGAATAGGTTCATTTAACTGGTGCAAAAGTCAAAAGGAACAAAATAGCATATAGTGAAAATTAAGTCACCTGCCCCCTCTTATCCTCGTCTGTCCTCTGATTCTCCCTGTGGAGGCAACCGCAGTTACAAATTTCTTTTTTTTTTTGTCCTTTTTGAGACTGGCCGCACCACGCTCAGCCAGTGAGCACTGTGAGCGCACAGGTCCTCCCTATATAGGATCCGAACCCGCGGCGGGAGCACTGCTGCGCTCCCAGCACCGCACTCTCCCGAGTGCACCATGGGCTCGGCCCACAAATTTCTGATATATCCTTCATGATATCTTCTTTGTATATAGAGGCATAGATGTATGTATAGTTTTTCTTTTTAAATACAAATGAGGGCCTACTGCACACGTGTGCCTTGAGAACATTTGATATCACTACATATACAGCCACATCCTTCTTTCTAATAAATGCATTGCATAAATGGGAGGAATTTGGACTTGAATTATGCACTATGTAGCAAAGTTTGGGATTCAATATTAGATGCTATTTAGTGAAAACTTCTCGAGAAATCCATCCTCAATTCACCTATTGCAGGGGTCAGCAAACTCTGACTGGCTGGCTAAATCTAGTTCACCCCTATTTTGATATGACCCACGAGCTATGGTGTTTACATCTCGAAAAATAAAATCAAAAAAGGATAGCGTGTTGTAAAAATTATATGAAATTAAATTTCAGTGTTTATAAATAAAATTTTATTGGAATGAGCCACACTCAGTCATTTATGTATTGTCTATGGCTGCTTTTTCACTATAATGTCAGAGTTGAGAGATTGTGACAGAGACCTTATGGTTGCAAAGCTGGAAATATTTGCTATCTGGCTCTTTACAGGAAGTTTACTGACCCTTGGCCTAATCACATATATAGCTCAATACTTTGATCATTTAAAATTTAGTAAGGGGAGTATATGGTCTGCATACATTTTTTCTGTGAGAATTAAGGAATTCCCCAAAGTGTCTGTCTCATTGGGATAAATTCTGGAATCTTTTGACTGAGCCAAATCTGGCATAATTCTAAATCAAAAAGAAAATGATTCTTTCATCTTATTTGAAATGTACTAATTATCAAAAGTTATTTTAGAGTTCAATCAAAAACAGACTTACTAGTGGATTGAAGTTAATGATTTCATAACCTTTTTCGTAAGCATGTTCTTAATTTAGAAATTAGCTGTACATTAGCAAATAAAATATGAAAGAAAGTTTGTATGAAGGGGAACTGACTTGGTCCTTTTCATTCTCAGAGATGAGTCAGAGAGCCAGGACAAATGGTCTTTTTTTTTTCAGGTTTGGAGCTGAGTAGAATTTTTCAGACAGTCAGTCCTTATTCATGTATTATTTAGAAATGTATCATGGCTAGTAGTTTTTTTTCTCTAAACATTTAAAAATGAAAATATTGTATACATATGAAATGAACATTTTTCCTTTTTTATAACAAAAACAACAATAATATACATACTTATAGTTATTTACATTCAAGGGTCTCAAAATGCTCTCTTGATTTAAATAAATAACATCAGGATCTCTAGACAGCCAAAAGAAAAGCAAGAAACACCTGAGTCATGAGGAAATTAGTGTTTCAGGTCACATATATGTTCTAACAGTAGTGAAAAGCAGTAAATGAAGAGGAAAAATGTAACCAACAAGAAACACAGCTAGAAAAGAAAAATTTATGAACAATCTCACTCATCTTTGACTAGCCTTTCTGAACTAGGCATAGGCAGGGCAGATAGAAATTGGGAACAGTAAGGATTACAGTAAGGAGAGAAGAAAAAGAGTGGTCCCAAACACATTCTGGAAAGGCGTCCATCTGTGAACTTAAGGGCTTTCACCTGTGAATTGTTTCATCAAGCCTGAAATGATCAATGTTTGATGTTATGTGAAGTTTGAGGGGAGTAAATGCAACGTAAGTGTTTTTGTTCTTTTAAAGAAAAGGAACTTGAATCTCTCGAGTCACCCCCATGACGCGCTGGTTCCCTGTGCGTGTGGGACACGATCCCGACCCACCCTGCTCTCTAGTGCTTGCTGCTCTTTCCTTCCAAGATGTGTACTGACGAAGTCCACTGTGGAGAGGAGGAGGTACAGACTTTTGCCTTTTAGGCAGAAATTGCCCAACTCATGTTTCTCATCATCAATACCTTCTCTTCCAACAAGGAAATTTTCCTTTGGGAGTTGATCTCTAATGCGTCAGAGGCCTTGGACAAGATTCGCTATGAGAGCCTGACAGACACTTCCAAGTTGGACAGTGGTAAAGAGCGGAAAATTGACATCATACGCAACCGTTAGGAACATACCCTGAGTTTAGTGGACACAGGCATCGGCATGACCAATGCTGAGCTCGTAAATAATTTGGGAACAATTGCCAAGTCTGGTGCTAAAGCCTTTATGGAGGCTCTTCATGCTGGTGCAGATGTCTCCATGATTGGGCAGTTTGGTGTTGGCTTTTATTCTGCTTACCTGGTCACAGAGAAAGTGGTTGTGATCACAAAGCATGACTATGAACAGTATGCCCGGCAGTCTTCTGCTGGGGGCTTCACTGGGCATGCTGATCGTGGCGAGCCCAGGGGCCGAGGTAGCAAAGTAACCCTCCTCCTTAAAGAAGATCAGACAGAGTGCTTAGAGGAGAGCGGGGTCAAAGAGGTGGTGGAGAAGCACTTGCAGCGGATTGGCCGTCCCATCACCCTTTACTTGGAGTAGGAACGAGGGAAGGAAATCAATGCTGATGAGGCAGAGGAAGAGAAAGGTGAAGAAGAGAGGAAGAGCAGGATGATGAGGAGGCGCCCAGGACTGAAGACGTGGGCTCAGATGAGGACGACGGCAGTGGTAAGGATGACAAAAAGAAAACCGAGAAGATAAAGGAGAAATACATTGAGCAGGAAGAACTGAACAAGACTAAGCCCATTTGGACCAGAAACCCTGATGCCATCACCCAGGAGGAATGTGGAGAATTCTACAGGAGCCTCACCAGTGGCCGGGAAGACCACTCGGCAGCCAAGCGCCTCTCTGTAGAAGGTCAGCTGGAATTCAGGGCATTGCTCTTCATCCCTCATCGGGCTCCCTTTGACCTTTTTGAGAACAAGAAGAAAAAGAATAACATCAAACTCTATGTCTGTTGTGTGTTCCTCATAGACAGCTGTGATGAGTTGACACCAGAGTATCTCAACTTTGTCCGTGGTGTGGTTGACTCTGCGGACCTGCCCCTGAACATCTCCTGAGAAATGCTCCAGCAGAGCAAAATCTTAAAAGTCATTCACAAACACATTGTTAAGAAGTGCCTTGAGCTCTTCTCTGAGCTAGTGGATGACAAGGGGAATGACAAGAAATTCTACAAGGCATTCTCCAAGAATCTAAAGTGTGGCATCCGTGAGGACTCCACTAACTGGCGACGCCTTTCCGAGCTGCTGCGCTATCCTACCTCCCAGTCTGCAGGTGAGATGACTTCTCTGTCAGAGTACATGTCTCTCATGAAGGAGACACAGAAGTCCATCTGTTCTATCACTGGCGAGAGCAAAGAACAGGCGGTCAGCTCCACATTTGTGGCGTGAGAGTGGAAGCAGGGCTTTGAGGTAACGTATATGACTGAGCCTACTGACGGGTATTGTGTGCAGCAGCTCAAGGAGTCTGATGGGAAGAGCCAGGTGTCAGTCACCAAGGAGGGTTTGCAGCTACCCGAGGATGAGGAGAAGAAGAAAACGGAGGAGAGCAAGGCCAAGTTTGAGAACCTCTGCAAGCTCATGAAAGAAATCTTGGATAAGAAGGTAGAGAAGGTGACAATCTCCAATAGGCTTGTGTCTTCTCCGTGCTGCATTGTGACCAGCACCTATGGCTGGACAGCCAACGTGGAGCCTATCATGAAAGCCCAGGCCCTTCGGGGCGACTCTACAATGGGCTACGTGATGGTCAAAAAACACCTGGAGATCAACCCCAACCACCCCATTGTGGAGATGCTGTGGCCGAAGGCTGAGGTGGACAAAAATGACAATGCTATCAAAGACCTGGTGATGCTGCTCTTTGAAACTGCACTGCTCTCTTCTGGCTTCTCCCTTGAGGATCCCCGGACCCACCCCAAGTGCAGCTACTGCATGATCAGGCTAGGCCTAGGCACTGATGAAGATGAAGTGTCAGCAGAAGAACCTAGTGCTGCAGTTCCAGGTGAGATCCCACTCCTTGAGCCTGATGAGGATGCCTCTTGCATGGAAGTAGATTACGAGTTTCTACTTGGGAACTTTGTGCCCTCTGTATACTGTCTTCATGGCTCCCATAGCAGCCTTGAGTGGTCCTGTCCCACCTGGCTTCCTCTGCTGATGTCTGTTTCTTTTTCCTCTCCTGTCCTTGTGTCTGAGGCAAGAAACAAGGGCCTTGAGTCCCATCCCTTCCTAATTTGAATATGTTGTGTATTGTGTTTTTTTAAATTTTGTTCTGAAGTTAAAGTATGCAAAATAAAGAAGATGCACTTTTATACAAAAAAAAAAAAAAAAAGAAAGAAAGAAAGAAAAGGAAATTTAGGATGGCAGAGATTACTTTATCTGAGTTAGTGTTCAAAGCTGAAACCATTACCAGATGTTTTGAAACAACTGACCAAGCAATTCAGGTTTCTTTGTCAGTCATGAATGGAGAGGCTCCTATGTTCAGAGCATCGTGCTAAGAATAACAGAAGAAAAAAAAATATGCATAAAACAAGGCCCTTGCCTACCTGAAATCTACAATTTAATGGGGACATACAGTCCAAACCACCAGCACACTCTTGGTAACATCACCTACAACACCAGCTGAATGACCCTAAGAAAGACTTATAGAATGGTTAAGCGTGTGAGAAATTATTTTAACATTGTATTTTCACTAAGTAAAAAAATGAGGGTTTCAGTTATGGGTCAGATGCAAAATTAAGAGTGGGGCATGTGGGTCTGGTTCTGAGTGATAGGGTGGTAAGCCTCTCCTGTGTTTCCAGAACTGGAGGAGACACCATTAGAAAACCCACTGAGCTTAAATTAGTATCCTTTCAGGGTGGATCAGGAGGCTGAACTGATGAACACAGTGGGATGAGTTATTTCTTACAGGTTTAATCTTTGATTAAAATTATTTTTTAAATCTTTGATCGAATTGGAACTTATTTTGGTGAACTGGAGATTTTTTTCTCCCAAATAACTAATTATCTCAGCATCATTGGTTGAAAATGGATTGTTTTCTCCCTCTGATTTGTGAAAATATTCATAGTCACCATTTTCTTAATGCCTGTTATGTGTCAGGTGCTTTGATACATTTTATAATGGATTTGTGCATTTTCTAGGTGACCCAGAATCTGATATTTCTTCCTTCATTTGGTAAATTGTCTGTCTTATGAATCTTGCTGGGGAGGAAAGCTTGCCTTGACTATAAAACTTGAGAACACCAGGAACTTATTTTTCCAGCCTCCCCTGTACTTGGGTTAGGAGCAACCAATCAATGAACCCACTCTGGGCTTTACAACTGGATCTATGGATCCAAAGAAGGTGGGCCAAGCAAAGGCCATTTGATGCCAGCAACACCTACTTCCTGGGAGCAAATGTGGCAGCACCAGCCATGACACCCACCATTATGTAGTGGGGCTGATTGTCCTCACATGCTCTTTGGTGGTATGAATTTCTGTGGTCCTGGTTGCTGCCCCACCTTCCTTAATCTTCCCTTTTCTCAAGCTGGTTCACCACCCATCTCAGAAATTTTGTAAGCAAAAAAATAGCCTGGCATAAATCCCTCTTCTGCCCATATTAGCCAGAATATGTCTCTGTTGTTTGTAACTAAAAGCCTTGATTGATAGATGCAGAAAATCATTTGATTCTCAAATCCTCACACTTTAAAGATGTGTATCACCGCTCCCATTAGATTTTAGGTAATTACTATTCAGTAAGAGTATTAACTTGCTCAAAAACTCAGCAAGTGATAGAAACAGAATTAAAATTCAGGTTTGAATTTGTCTGATTCTAAAGTTCAGACTCTTTCTACTCTATCACAAAATGCTAACATCATAAAATACATCACACACACATACATATGAGTGCTCTCTTAATAGGTAGACACATAGATTTCTCTCTCTCTCTCTCTCTCTCTCTCAGCAGAAACCATATATGGTTTTTTGGTCTAAGCTTCTATTATGAACCATTGGTCTAGCCTTGTGCTCACACCACACTGTTTTATTTATTGCAGCTTTATAATACATTTTAAAGTCCAGTATAGTAAGTTCTCCTTTAAATCTTTTTCTTGCCTCTTCTTGAATGTTTATTTTTCTAGATGAGCAATTGGATAATTTTGTAAAGTTTTCTCCAAATCATGGAGGAACAAATTAGCAGCTCTAATTTAAAGTACTTCAACCTTAATGTTATTTTCACTTAACAGGGTTATGTGAAGTATTCATAGCTCCCACGTGTATGCATATGCACACATCCACACACACACTCACAAATATGCACTTATATAAGGACTTTTGGTACTTATATAAAGACTTTTTGTTTATTAGCTTCAGCATATTTTTAAATCCTCTAGAAGCAGAAACTGTAGCAGTGTTGGCCAGAGAAGCTCTTTCAAATTAAGGCTGGCCAACACCTTGAGAAAAGATTCCTCGATAAGAGAGTAGCAGTAGGGAGGGAAATAGTTCATCATAGGATTTATTTTTTATACAGCTTTGTTCCTGCAAAAAGCAGCACGGTTCACTTTGAGTCTTCTATTTTTTTCTCCAAGCATAATTTTGATGCTGTGGGAATTCTCTCCAAGCAACACTCAACAAGTAAACCCCAGGAGAATATCTGGTTTGTGTTTGCACATAATTTTCTTGGTGTGGAGCCTAGGTAGTAGAAAGGCTAAATAATATCTATGGTCCTGGAAGCTTTTCTTTAATTATGGAGTTGTTGAGGCTCTGTTAAGAACCGATGAGACTCACAGTTTCTGTCTGGTCCAATAAACTGAGAAGAGTAATTTCCATCTCTTTAAGTGGATGTGGATTTGATACATATATATTAATCACAAGTTAATGAAAAGCCCATGCTTTTGATCCAGGAGGACACCAGGGTCTTCCTTCTCTCTTGCAGAGAAACATTCGAGAATAAACATCCTTGTGAGAATCCCCTGTAGGAAATTACATGCATCTGCTCAGATTAAAAAGGCATCAACTTATTTATTTCCTCTAATAGAGAGGGACTTCTCTGAAAACTGAGTTCTTTCCTGAAAGGCCAGTGGCTTGGGTCTGGGAATTTTGAGATGCTAGCAGATTGGAGTGATGCTCTTAATAGTAGATTCTGGGAATGTGCAAATGCAGATAACTGTATGTAAACTGTGCTATGGAATTCAGCTGCCTTTGTTGCAGACACAGACTCGACAGTGCCAGGAAATTTTGGAGACTCTGCACTTTTATTCCAGATTCAGGGTTATTCTTTGGGACCACAATTCACACAGGTATTTCTAGCCCATCTCAATTAGAATTGAGGATAATATCAGAAATGGAATGCAGCTAGTAGCAAGCCCGAGAGCTGACTTCTTCTTCTAAAATTAAATTAAGATTAGCCATAGTACCTCATATCTCTGAAAGCTGTGCTGCATAATAAGGTGGAACTGAATGCTGTGCCCAGGAAATTTATGCCATATTTGCAGCAACACTTCCAATAAAAAAATTGATGAGCAGAGAGTTAATCATGTTGTAACTGCATATAATCTCATGATCCACTCTCCACTGGAGTTAATAATTAACTGTTGGTATGCACTGAGCTATCTGGTAATGTCTCCTGGCTTGGCTTTCCATCAGCAACAACCTGGCAACCAGGCACAATGGCTGCTGAGGAGAGCTGGTTAAGAAATTGGATTTGCCTATAAAAGGCCCACACTTTTAGTTTGTCCTGATTTGGAATAGAGCTAGTTCTCTAGCTAAAGTTGTGGTGACAATGACTTGAAATGAATTTCTCATCTAGGCACATTCTGAAAGGCCAGTTCTGGGCATCCATAAAGAAAAAGACTCATTAGGTAACCCAAAAGGGACAAAACGATAGTTACTATAACACTGCTGTCTTCACAACAGTAGTCTGCAGGCTTGCACAATTAAGTATTATTGGTCCTTTCTCACACTATTGCAATGAGAAAAACACTTGCTTTATCTTCAGAGAAACTCGGTTTTACTACTAATTCAAACAAATTAAAAATACGTATTTGATCTCCTTTTAGCTTTTTGAGATTTTCAGTAGTGAATATTTTGTAACTAGTACACACTTGATTCCTCTAGTGATCATGAGCTCTGGTATTAATATGTATACAAAATGCCTCAAAAATCAGCTCATAATGCAGTCAGCTATTGTGTTTTGAGTGAATGACTCATGACTACAAGGTTAAATGGTAGCTACAGAGAAAAATCATCTCAATTTTTAAATAATTTCTTCTTTCCTGGTAAAGTGGTAAAAATAATTCTTCCGTTTAATTCTTCTGGAATCCAGTGGAAATGTACAACACTATTTTTCTCCCCCATCAAGTGAACAGTTAACCATTGCTCAAAGCTAATACAACAGTCTAAAATCTTAATTGAATAAAACCTATTTCTTCCCCCACTAAATTTAAATTTAAATCCCAAGTTAAAAAATGTTGACATTCAAACTTGCTTAAAATATTGTTCACCAAGGCTAGGAAAAAATCCAAGTAACTATGAGTTATGTATTTCATAAATAAAAAACATTTGGTGGCTTCACAATTTTGATGGGAGCCAAGTAGTGGTGTAAAATTGTATTCTCCTAGCTTGGAGAGAGTTCTCAGGGTGTGTGTGTGTGCGCGCGCGTGCGTGTGTGTCTGTTTGTCTTTCCATGGATGAAAAGAAGGCAAAGTCATTTCATTTCAAACATGTGCTATTTGAGAACTGTCCCAGGTTCTAAAAAAGCTAATGAGTATCCAAATAGTGACAATTTACTACAACAATGCAAATTGGTCAACCTCTGAATATGTGATTCATAAAAGGAACTGGAATGCGCTCATTAATCCTAGACACTGAAGATCCCTGAACAGTTATTGAGAGCTCTGTTAAAACTTGCTATTTATGTAATTCCCCAATTTAGGTCTTCCAAAACCTAATGAACCCCTTTGACCTGTGCTGTCCGAAATAGTAGCAACATGTGGCTATTTAAATTTAAGTTAATTTAATTATATAAAATTAAATATTTAGTTCCTCTGCACTAGTCCCATTTCAAGTGTTCAGTATCAACGTGTTGCCAGAGGATACCATATTGGACAGCTCAGA